ACAGATACAGTAGCAATAACTTTATTTGACAATTAGAAATGCCGTTATGGTACACCTTTATCAATCACTTCGGGTCAAGGTACTCAGTTCAAGTCGGCCCTATTCACTGCAATGACGAAACAAATTGACGCTTCCCGCATCAGAACAACACCAACAACAAATCCAGCTTCCAACGGCATGGTAGAGCGCGTGCACCGAACAATAAAAGCAGCTCTCATGTGCCAACTACAAGTTTCTTGGAAACAACGCTTATTAACTGTGCTCTTTAGACTCCGCACGTGTGTTAAAGAAGACTTAAATGCCTCATCTGCAGAATGACTATATGGAACACAGCTTCGTGTTTCTGTAGAATTTTTCGTCAATGAAGACATGCCAGCATATCCGCAAGTGTTCGTTGAAAAGTTAAGAGAATACATTCGAAGCATCAGACCAACTCCAACGGATCATCACACAAAAGCTAGAATCTTTATACTTAAAGATTCACAGAAATGCCCACACAAATTTTTAAGATTTAATGACTTTAAAAAACCACTGGAATCACCGTATTTCAGATCACACAAAATTATGGAAAGAATGAGTGACAGAGTATTCAAAATCGATGTCAACAGTATACAAAAACCAATATGAATAGAAAGACTAAAACCTGCATTTAAATCAAAAAATAATTTCTCGATAGCTAGGCAACAAGAGTCACGATTCAAGATTCAAGAGTCGAAGGACCTCTTGGTGAGAAACACTTAGTTGCTTTTAAAGAATCTTTTTTGAACGCCGTAGAGTCCTTAGATGGCGGAGTAGCTAACATAGGGTTCGTTGGTAACGCTCGCCTTGAGGATGGGAACATTACCATTAAGTGTATGAACTTACAATTCAAAGCATGGCTAATCAGCACGGTAACTAAGTTGAAAGGCCTTTGGCCTGAAGCTAAGCTGACGACTGACACGCTAACAGCATTACGCAACGAAAGGAGATTACTTATTCTTGTGTACGATTCTACCGTAGGCAAGGAAAGTATTCTTAACAGACTGCAGAAGCAAAACAACTGTGTTAAGGACACTTCGAAGTGGAGGGTCACTAACTTTTGCAATTTTGGCGAAGCGAGCAGTGCTGGTATCATGCTCACAGTGGGATGCCCCAAAGAAGACGCTGAGGCGATCAAGACCGCAGGGGGCAGACTCAACTGTGGTCTAGATCAAGCCAAAGTAAAATTCTAAAGAGATGCACGATGAGCAAGACAACGCCTCTGGTAAGGGGCTAAAGGGTCTGTGTAGACCGTTACGACGGTGGGTGGGCCCATACCAGATAATCATAAAGGCTGAACAACTGAATATTCATCACAGTACAGCAGCATCAGCAATAATCCTGCGACACTTTGACGAAGAAAATTTGGATATACTATGATTGAAGAGCCCTGGGTTGTTCAAAACGCAATTAAGCAACTCGCTACATCAGTTGCCACGCTGTTCTTTCCACAGACAGCTGGAAAAATATGGACATACATAACGGTGAGGAAGGGGATACACTGCATCCAATTGCCTCATCTATGCTAACCAGACCTTACTACCGTAAGAGTAGGAAGTGATGTAAACACCTTTATCGTAGCGTTGGTCTATCTGCCACACGACTCTACTGAACCACCTCCCAGTTAGGAGGTAATCAGATTGATGGAGTATTGTAGAACGAAAAGGTTAGAAATTGTCATAGGATGTGATGCGAACGCACACAACATTGTGTGAGGTAGCAACGATAGTAACAACAGAGGCGAATCTCTCCTCGAGTTTGTTGAAAAATACAATCTGGTGATTGTAAACAGAGGGTTAGAACCTACCTTTGTTGACGAACGAAGGTCAGAAGTTATTGACTTAACCCTGTGCTCAGGAGCAATGAAACAGAAAATTGAGAAATGGAGGGTCGCCTAACCACAAATTAACAATGTCGGATTATCAGACTATACACTTTGAAATGCTCTGTCGACCGAAACACACTAATAGTCAATAGTCAATAGTCAATAGGCTAATAAGAATTCCTGAGAATACGGATCAGGTAACATACTTGACGTTATTAAAGAAATTATTACAAAACAGGCCACTGAGGAAACTCAAGACCACATGGAATGTAGTGACAGAAGTCAAAGTAATTACTGCTGCGATGATTAATGCATTAGTAAACGCTTATCCCCAAACCAGCATTGCAGAAAAGTCGTCGACACCTTAGAGGAATTAGGACTTTGATGCAATAAAAAAGGAGACAAGAAAAGCCTTTAACAAATACATAAGGAAGAAGAACTCCGTATCATGAGATCTGTACAATGCTAAAAAGTTTGAATTTAAGAAAGCACTACGCAACCGGAAACGAAAGTCGAGGCGAAATTTCTGTTCGAGCATGAAAGGGACCTCTGAAGTAAGGCGGTTACAACAGGGTCACCAAAGACCCGGTCTCAAGACTTGGTTTAATCCGAAAGAAGAATTGTACATTGACGGAGACCGTAAGAGAGTCATTGAGTACTCTCATAAAGACCCATTTTCCAAGAAGTTTCAAATTTGATGATCACTGTCCTTCTCCCAAAAGGAGAATGAACAGAGAAGAAAGATTTGATGCGTAACGGATAGTGACCACCAATGTAGTTAGGAATGCCATCTTGACATTCGCTCCATTTAAGTCACCGGGGTTGGATGGCATATTTCTAGCACTCCTGCGATGGGGAGTTGACCTGCTCGGAGTCAGGCTCACGGAGATATTCAGGACGTCACTGGCAACAAGGTACGTCCCTAAAGCTTGAAGAAATTCAAGGGTGACTTTTCTACCAAAGCCAGGAAAGGGGGATTACACTGAAGCAAAGTCATTCAGGTCAGTTAGCCTTACCTCTTTCATGCTTAAAGCTATGAAAAAAATAATAATGAACTATCTAGAAGGCACCATGCTAATGAAATATCCTTTAAGCAGATGTCAACACGCCTTTAGGGCGGGGATATCCACAGAGACTGCTCTGCACGAGGTCGTGAGTACTGTTGAGAGAGAGCTAACTTCAGGAAGCATTTCGATGGTCAGCATGATCGACATTGAAGGAGCCTTTCACAAAGTAAGCTTTGATAAATTAAAATCAGCTCTAGCTGATCGAAAAGTCGGTTCACTCATTATTGGACGGATAGATTTCATGCTAAGGCAAAGAGCAGTAAATCCCCAAAAAGGAAGACATAGACTGACAGGCAGAGCAGTCAGAGGTTGCCCACAGGGAGAAATGCTTTCACCATTCCTGTGAAACGTGACAATAGATTCTCTACTTCAACATCTTGACTTTAAAGGCATACAAACAATTGAGTATGTAGACGATATAGCACTGATGGTGAATGGCAAGTTCCCAGACACCATTAGAAACGAGAAGAAATGCGAATTGCTCTCAAATGCATCGAAAAATGGCGTAGGGAACACGGCATGACCATCAATGCGACGAAGTCAGACACTATCCTCTTCACGAAAAAGAGTAGTCTGTCAATGGAGCCCTTACAACTTTTCCATAATAACATTTATCAAAGTCGGGGAAGTATCTAGGAGTCATCTTGGATAATAAACTGACTTCAAATGAACATGTGAATAAAAAGATCAGAAAAGCGAAGAGGCCCTATTTCAGTGTAAGAGAGACCTCGTCCAGACCGCGGTCAAGGAAATGCAGATGCCATTGGAGACTATGGGAAGAGCTTACGGGACAGATGTATCCTATTGAACACTGACAGTAAACGGCCTTCTACATAATGAATGTGAAAGGAATGATATCTGCATCTTTACCGATGGCTTCTTGCTGGATGGCAGAGCTGATGCTGGGGTTTACTCGAAAGAGTTAAATCTAACGTGCACTCTACATCTAGGAATACATGTTTCCGTCTATTAGGCGGAACTTATGGCGATCTCATATGCTCGGGATCACCTATTGTATTGTCAGATGAATCAGAAAAAGATTCTAATAGCGCTGGACAATCAAACAGTTATCAAAAGCATGCAAAAGACATACATAGCTAACAGCTTAGTTCAAGAATGTGTAACGAAGCTCATAGAATGTGCTCATGGAAATGAGGTTACGGTCATGTGTATTAAGGGACAAATCGGTATTGAGTAAAAGAAAAAGACAGATGAACTTGCAAAGCAAGGATCAAACCATAACTTCTGCGGCCCAGAACTCAGAATACCATTGGGTTACAACATGATTACAGCCTATGTCTATAAATGGATAACTTCACTTCATAATAATAGATGGAGAGAGTTGAGCACTTGTAGATAGACTAAACTCATGTTGCCGAAACCGTGGGTCAAGGAAGCGATAAAAGTGCTTAGCTATCCGCGGAGCACCCTAAGCTGGCTGACCTCATTAATTACTGAACATGGCAACTTCAAGTATCACCTCAAAAAGTTTACTCTTGCTAAGGAAGATACTTGCAGAAATAAGCTGATTTCATTAACAAGAGATATAGTTATGCGAACGGAAGCCACTCCAGCTTTAACTAAATAACGACATCCGAGAATAGAAGGACGAAAAAGGACCCAAGTAGTTTCGTGGTCTACTTCCACTTCGGTATATATTTTATGATTATTGTTGTGTTGATTGAGAAATAAAGAAGTTAAACCAAAACGTGTTTTTTCATAAAAGTGCATTGTGTAATTTAAATGATATTTAAGCAGCAGAATGCACCAACACCTATAATATTATATATAGTGAAACAGCAGTAACTGTTATAAAAAAACTGCTTCCGCCATCTAGCGGCAGTTAGTGTGTAAAATTCTTACAGAGATTATAGAAATGATGGTTAAACACAAACAAACTCGCCGATAATTATCATTTTGCACCTTAACAGTTAAACGGACATGTAGTCTTAAGGAATTAGATTAATTGATTTTACTTGTATGTCGCCCGTATAAATCTCGTATAATCAGTTAAAATTGTAAATCAAAGGTAGCTTCTATTCAAAAATCAAAAATAAAAAATTGTTACTCGAATAAATGGAGGAAAAAAATTTTCAGAACTTAAAATTCATTTTGACTTGATGTACGGCATTTTGTGAACATCACATTATTCCTCACTGATTAAATGAGGTACATTTATATTTATTTAAGAAATTTATTTTGAAAAAATGAGCTCTAAAGCTATAGATTTTTTTGACATACACCAATTTGCTGATGAGTTCGTTAATGAGCTGATATCCTTAGCCGTAGAAAAATATCAAAGAGATGAGACCGGGTTTTTTATCTATCGATGCCCAAAATATGCCTGCGTAGAATCGGAAAACTCTTGCGACGCTTCATCTGAATCAAAGGAGGATAAAGGCAAGACTCATGTTAAAAATTCCGCGAAATCCATATCCTGGGTTACTATAGGGAATTTTACCTATTCAAAAGCTGTGATTAACATTAATGAATATGTCAGTACATGGGTATTGCCACCTGGCGCTATATTTGAAATGAAGGAGAATAATCTAATAAAAGATGTCGAAGGCTTGGGAAGAACTTTTTATGCGGATGTGATTGTCTCAAAACAAGCATATCCGTCGGCTACAGCCACTGTGGCATTTCAAATACATTTATCGGCAATATTACCGACAAGTTACCCTGTCATGGTAACATACACTTTCGAAGATTTTCGCACAGTGTTTTATGCAATTGGGGATAAATGCTTTTATTGTAACTTTCAAAGACACTTTATCAGTCATGCTTTAGAGTTGAAACAGAAGATTTTTCAAGAACCATTCAAATGGAGTAATGAATTCAAAGAAAATGAAAAGGATGATAAAGAAAAAAACAAGGACAATACTATAGTAACAAAGGAAGTCAGCAAAAAGGTGAAGAAAATACGTGATTGCTAAGAGGCCGGTATTTTTAATGCAACCAAAAAAAAATTGCAGTGATGACATGAATACAAGGTGCCACAGATTTCTAGCAAATTAAAATTTTTAGTGAAAAAAAATATTTTTTATAGTGTATATACAACGAATTATTTTTTTTAAGGATGAGTTTATTTAAGCCAGCTAAATGGAGATCAAATAATAATCTGAACTAAAAATTTGTTTGTCGTTTCCTTATAATTTGTTTTTATCAATTCAGCTATAGATTTTGAGACCACTATATTACCATATAGCTAGTAATTAGTTTTACTCTGCGGTTTCCTTCCTAGCTCCTTCCGAAATATGTTAGAACGTATTTTATATTGTGACGAAATAACAGCCTTCAGACAAAAAACTACATAAACAATTTTAAAAACAATTTAAAAACTGGTTGAAAAAAATAATCTTGGAATGATAGTACAATTACCTGTTAATAAAGAAGAGTTTTTTGTGTAGTGGTTGCACTCTAAGCAGCTTCTTAACTAATATCAATCAGCAGAAATAATTTTTGCTTGTTAAGTTAATGACGTAGAACCTTTAGAAATCGTTGCGGTTAAAGAATTTGATTTTATGAACGATAAAAACGCAAGGGCAAAAAAATAATGACAATAATGTTTGATCCAAGTCTCCCAACTACTCTTACAATGATCAAAATTTTGGAAATATTTAATAGATACCCTTCCTTATTAGAGAATTACTGTTAGTGAAGTTGTTGAAGCTGAAATAGTAAAGCGAAGTGATCATGTTCAAATGTTATGCCAATAAAATATGTACCGAAAACGTTTGTTTAGTTTGTGGGGAAACGTAACATTACTGAGTTGTCGTCCTATTCGCCAGATATGGCACCCTACTAAATTTTTATTTTTGAAACTCAAAAAATCTCTTAAGAATACTTCTTAATAATAAATAAAATGAAGGCGAAATGGATGAAAGTCTCCTATTATATAAGGAGATTATTTAAAGGACGATAAAATCGAAACCATTTTTTTAGCTGAGCTCTTAAAATAACAGTAAAAACAGATAAAATAATAATACACTGACAAAAAGTAACAATTGCAGTTTAAAAATAACTAACAATCTATTTCAAGTGTACAACTTCAAATCGAGTTTACGCACAAGTTAGTCTGCTAAATATTTTAGATCACTTGAAACCAGATTTCACAAACATCTCGACACTGAAATAACGAAATGATTCTGATGACGCCAGTATATTCGGTTTAGTATTCATGTGATATAGCAACATCAATAAGTGCAGCTTAACAATTCAATCAATTTTTCCTTTATATTCTATAGAGTGATCAATGTTACGGTGCATATTAGAGTTTCTAAAATAATCCTAAGTGTTTGTCATACTCTGTTATCGATATTATAGAGAGATATTTTTGAAGTGTAGTAATATCAATTCTAGTTCCACAGTGATGTCATTATTAAATAGCGATAGGTCCGATTTCTTTTCAATCAGCCATTTCATCGATATACCTATATTATAAATACATCTTTTTTTTCATTTCTTATGTATTTGCTCCTTTTTAATTTTATGTTCCAAATTGCATATTCTTTATTTTCTTTGATAGTCAGTTGTGTTAATACTGTAGTTTGCAATTATTTGGTTGCCTCTATCTTCGTATCATTGATCACAAGGACAGCTGTATTGTCAGCAAATGTGGCTATGTTGCTTGTATATAGTATATATTATATAATATATTGTGAACTCCAGCTTTATTTTGCAGCAAATCACCATAGATAACTCGAAAAAAAATGATCAAATCAACACAAAGAAGTTTCGTCTCTATATCGAAAAGATAAAATATTTTCTTTCGCAAGTAACCGATAAATCGAACGATGCTAAGAACCTATGAGCTATAGAACAATACGACTTTTGCTTTTTCATTTCTCTATTACGTGCTGCGACTTTGACTAGGTACAATGATATTAGGCTAGAGTCGTCTGATGTAGTCCAGAGTTTGTTCCCCCCAAGAATTTAATAAATAAATGATATTTAAAATTATTTATGCCACAAAAAACACGAAAAAGACAAAAATATAAAATTTCTCAAAAATTTATATATTTTTAAACTTTTAAATACAATTTCTAGCTGAACTAAATACAATGAATGTGTAATTAAATACAAGAAAAAACATTTGATAACAAATTCTAGATCCTCTTATATGTACAAAGAGACTTTGTGCCTTAGGTTAAAAGCTAGCCTCTTCAGCTCAAGTTGTGAAGCAAGTCAATATGTGGCATTGATATATCGAGTTACTATGGAATCCTAACTGAGCAGTTATAAAAAAATTAAGATTAACATCTTCATTCCAACAATTCTGTTGGAATGACATTCCAACAATTTTGAAAAATCATACGGCTTTCCACTCCTCGCTTTGCCCATGCGGCATGATACATATTGTTCAAATTTATTTAACTAAAAATCACAAATATATTAATATTACTGTATTTTCTCTTCGAAATATACTTCTCTTATCATAGAGCATAAGAATTAAAACATCTATTGTAATGACCTTTCTGGCCCTATCCAAGGCCGGGGTATACTCAGGGTATACCAAGGTGTTAATGCAAGAAATTAAAATTTGATTAGGAAAAAATTGTATCAGATTAATATGTGGAACACCACAGTTTAGTTTATGCATTTCACCTTATTTATGATATGAAAGTCCTACAAGACAAATTTACTATCATAAATAAAAAAAATTATATTTAATTCTATGTTCAGTGTCTTTTTTTTATTTACAATTTAATAGAACAAAGCAAACTTGCTAAATAAAAAATACAAAATAAATTACCATATATACAAATTGTTGAAGTAGGAATAAGTTACGATTTAATACTTAATTTATGTTTAGGAAAAATATTCTTTTTTTTCTATTTACGACAAAAAAAGTTTTCAATAACAATGTACTTTTAGATTTAATTTAATTAATTCCCTTACCAGAAACACCAGAAAAAAACAAGAGGTACTCACCGCAGTTGTTGATATGACGTCACCGCTTCTCTGCTGTACCTGGCTATGTTTGTAACAACAAAAAAAATATTCAATGTTAAATTTCCTATGATTTAAATATTTACAAAAGGGTGGAGCAAAAAATTTAACAACTAAGTTCTCTAATAACTAATAAGATAAATCATACAATTTATGTAATGTATGCTTAATTATTACAATGTAGATATCTTTCAAAAAAATTCCAATTAGACATTAGACACATTTACTCCATAAAAAAAATTGTATATAAAATATATTTCTATTTATTAATGCTAAATAAGAATATTTAAAAAAAAAAATCATATGGACTTAGATTATTTGCTATGTTCAATTTATCATTGTTTCATCAAAAAGGTGTAATTAAAAAAATAAAAAAAACTAACAACTCATATACATATGTATATAAATCTCAATTAGTTATATAAAGAAAGTTTATAACATATATTTTTAATATAGAGAGAGAGGAACAAAATAAAATACTGGTTCGCTGGTGCTATGTGCCAGGAGCGACGTTGTTGTAGCTGTGATAGTTGCTGCTGTTGATGATGTCGCGTCAAAAGTATTTACACAAAATGTTAATTTCATTTTCTTCTTCTTAATTGATGAATTTTTTAAAAAAATTTTTATTTTCATTTAATTAATATAATTAATATCTGGTTGCGCCACCTTTGGCATCAATAACTGCCTGCAACTTAGCTGAAATTGATCCAGTCAAGTTGCTGGATCAATTTAACTCTTTTAAAATTGGATTAAGTCTACATCCTTGATGACATGGTGCATTGTCATGTTGTAGAACCCAGTTATTGATTAGAAAGGTCTATTTTCTGACATTAAAATACAGTTATTTAAAGTACCCATATAACCGGACTGATTTAAGGTGCCATTTTTCGATACCTAATCTCCAAATGCATAGCATAATAGACATCCCCAAAACAAAACCGTGTCACCTTCATATCTATTAAGTGGCGGCATTGCTTTATTCTTTTGGCGTTGTCCTAAATGCATGGAGTGGTTATCAAATGAACCCTAGAATTGAAATCCAGACTCATCTGTCCATAACACATTGTAACAAAACTGTATAGGTTTCTTAAAATACTTCAAAGGAAATGAGAGACGATTTGATAGGGTCGTTAGAGTAATATTGACTTTTTTGTGCACCAATTAGGTATTGATATTAGCATCTCTCAACCTGCGATGTAGTGTAGCATCACTAATAATCTTGCCAATTAACTTTTCCGATGATGCTGCTTTTTTCACAGGACTTATTGTAGGATTTTCTACGACTACTCGTAATAATCTTCTGCATTACTTTCGATTCATGGGAGGTTTCCGTCCAGTCCTTTTCAAATTTTTTAAATTTTCGCATATATTCTTATTTTAAACTAGATTTTACACCGTTTTATGTAATATTTTGCATAAATTTACTAAGTTCGTCGGACAAAATGAAAATTTTGTTAGGCTTACATATGTAAAACATATGATAAAATGTAAAGTTAAAGATTTGAAAATGAATAATAATTCTTTACAATTATTGGTGAGAACATTTTTTATATATGATTGTGTATAAAATATAATTTTTCATGTCTTCTAACAGTAAAATAATAAATAGAAAAAGTAACGTATTTGTTGCGAACAATGACGACACAAATTACGAATAATTAATGAAATCATTCGTTCACAGTTAACTGGAAATTTCGTAGATATTTCCAAAAGTCGTTCACAATCGACGAATTTTTAGTCTTGACAACGATTGGCTTTGAGCTGTTTAGAAGTTACGCGATTTCAAAAATGTTGGACCAAATAAACCAGCAGTGTTGTTGTTTCATTTGTTATTTTTAAAATTAGCGGTTGTTCTTTTGTGATATGCTTACAAAAGAAATGTCCTATTGTTTACAATTTAAGTATTAAAAGTACCATAGATAATTGAAAAAATGTCAAATGCTCCTATATCTGAAGTTCAATGGAAAACATGTTCGTATGTACTTGAAAATTTGTCTGCTGTTAAAAATATCTAAATGTTATGTGTAAAGCAACATACATATAATATAAAACAAGCCCTATATAAAACAATCAAATTCAGACTAAATCAACCAGCAATTAAATTAAATTGGACACTTTTTATTTCGGACCAGGTAAACTCATGAACAGATTAAAACTGTTCGAAGTATGTAGTTT